GTAATTCATATAAATTGCCATAATAGAGCTATAGTACATTGAAAAAAATTGTTTCTCTTAAAATTTATATAAATTATTGTGAATTATACTATTTATTATTAATGAAAAACATTCTATTTCTTTATAATCATACATAATAAGCTCCGTCGTAATACACCATCGTCGAAACCCTTAGAAAAATCTATTAAATATACAAATATAACACAAAAACTAATGGGACATTGTTTTACTACGTAAAAAATCATAAAATTTAAAAAAATAGAAATTGTTAGTTAAGTCTATTAAATATTTAAAAGCATAAAAGAGAAGTATACTGAAATTCAAATTATTAATATTAAANATAAAACAAAAACTAATGTGACATTGTTTTACTACGTAAAAAAATCATAAAATAACTGCTATCAAACTTTACCAGTAAAATAAATTTGTTTAAATGTAATAATATTCTCTAAACCTCTCCCCTTACAATAAAACATAACTCAATTACACTAATGAATTGTACTATGAATAATCTAAATATATAATAAAAATTGAAAAATTAGTGAATGCTGAAAAAATATTTAGCGATGTCCGATATAAAATCTAATATAAATTGTATTCAGGCATTTCAAAATAATTTTTTAAGAAAATTAACCAACTCCCCTCCATACGTATCAAATTATACCCTCCATTCTGATCTAAAAATTAAAACTGTTAAAGANCTTTAAGAAAATTAACCAGCTCCCCTCCATACGTATCAAATTATACCCTCCATTCTGATCTAAAAATTAAAACTGTTAAAGGAGAAGCAATAACATATTATAAAAGATTCCATACTCGACTAGCCTACCACTCCAATCCCCTAATAAAAGATCTTTCAACTAATGCTATTCCTGGTAATCCTCCGAGACGCTTAAAGCGCAAGTGGTGTAGAGATCTATTAACTTAACTTTAATTAAAAATAAAAAACAATCACTTAAAAGTGTCATCAATGGGTGGCTTCTTTTATCAAGTATTCCATGTTATAATTATTTTAGCTAATATTCTTAATGTACCTATAAGGAACAGATAGTGTATATATTAATAAAGAAAAAAAAGCACAGGGGGGTCGCAGCACAGTGGTGAAGTGGCATAGATGGATCAAGTATAATGATATCTGACAGTGATTAAAATCACTATAAAAAAAAAACGCTTCGATGCAAATCTTTAGATAGTGTTTAATTTTAAAAAATTGGTGGATTATTCCAAAAGCTACATGATCTGCTAGTTCATTATTAATATCCTACTTAAGATAAAGTATGTCGAATGAAAAAAGGATTATTAAAAAATATTATTTCTTATAAAAAAATAATGTTGATCCATACACTTTTAAATATGTCATAGCATAATAAAGTTAAAAATGTAAAAAATAAAATCGAGAATTTTCACATAATAATAGCATTTGGTAGCCATTTTCACCGTGAAGATAAAATAAAGTCCGAAATTTTTTTTTTCCATAATAAAGTATATTACATTAGCTTTAATTTAAGATATATATAAAAGTGTCAGACTTTCCGGAACACTTTCAAAATTTAAGTTGAAAAAGTTCTACTTTCTACATGCATTTTTTAGATTTGAACCCCCCTCGTATATAGGGAAATGGTCGGATTTAAAAAAACAGTATGTCAAATGAAAGATGTATATAAATACTACTCCTCATAAAAAAATTGTACTGATCCATACATTTTTCAAAAAGTTATAGCATAATAAAGTTAAAAATGTAAAATACAAAATCGAAAATTTTCACACAAAAATAGCATTCGGTAGCTATTTTCACCATGAAGATAAAATAAAGTCCGAAATTTTTTTTTACCATAATAAAGTATATTACATTAGCTTTAATTTAAGATATATATAAAAGTGTCAGACTTTCCGGAACACTTTCAAAATTTAAGTTGAAAAAGTAAATTTTTTGTGAAAAAGTTGTCATTTTAAATCCCCCCCTGTGGGCAGGTAAAGGGTCAGATATAAAAAAAATATATACCAAATGATAGGTAAAGACATCATGCATCTATAAAAAAAAAAATTATATTGATCCATACATCTTTCAAAAAGATATAGCATTATAAAGTTAAAAATATAAAAAAGAATTTTTTTACAAAAATCGTATATTTTTTATAAACTTTGATGTCTGTTTTCACCATGAAGATAAAATAAAATCAGAAATTTTTTTTTACCATAATAAAGTATATTACATTAGCTTTAATTTAAGATATATATTAAAGTGTCAGACCTTCCGGAACACTTTCAAAATTTAAGTTGAAAAAGTTCTACTTTTTACATGCATTTTTTAGATTTGAACCCCTCTCGTATATAGGGAAATAGTCCGATTTAAAAAAACAGTATGTCAAATGAAAGATGTATATGAATACTACTCCTCATAAAAAAATTATACTGATCCATACATTTTTCAAAAAGTTATAGCATAATAAAGTTAAAAATGTAAAATACAAAATCTAAAATGTTCACACAAAAATAGCATTCGGTAGCCATTTTCACCGTGAAGATAAAATAAAGTCCGAAATTTTTTTTTTGCATAATAAAGAACATTGCATTAGCTTCAATTTAAGATATATATAAAAGTGTCAGACCTTCCAGAACATTTTCAAAAGTCAAGTTGAAAAAGTTAATTTTTTGTGAAAAAGTTGTCATTTTAAATCCCCCCTTGTGGGCAGATTAAGGGTTAAATTTATGAAAAAAATATACCAAATGAAAGGTAATGATATTNGGCAGATTAAGGGTTAAATTTATGAAAAAAGTATACCAAATGAAAGGTAATAATATTATGCATCTATATAAAAAAGAATTATATTGATATGTTTATTTTTGAAAAAGTTATGGCAGTTTTTAGTAAAAAAATTGAAAAAATTTCGAAAATTAGTGATTTTTAAATTTGTAATTTTTTTGGAGGTTTGCCCCATTTACGGGGAATGAGCGAAATTTTTTCAATTTTTTGAGGGTAATGTATTCGTTTAGATACGATTTGTGATCTTTTAACGTATCGTTGAAAGAAATTGATCCAGTGAGAGCTGAGAAAAAGTGGCAACAGAAACAAAAAAAAAAAATAAAAAAAAACACATCTTAGTAAAACCAATACCTTCTCAGCTTCGCATCGAAGCTAAAACAATCACTTAAAAGTGTCAGCAATGGGTAACTTCTTTTATCAAGTATTCCATGTTATAATTATTTTAGCTAATACTCTTATTGTACCTATAGGGAACAGATTGTGTATATATTAATAAAGGAAAAAAAAATGTAATAATATTCTCTAATCCTCTCCCCTTACAATATGACATAACTTTGGTTAAAATCTGTTGGTTTTTATCTGGATTATAAGTTTCATTTTTCTTGGCACTCTAAGTCACGTCTTCTAAATTTTTTTGCTCCATGAAAACGATTTTTTGGCCGTTTCTCTTATACAGAATGATTTATTTATCATAACCAATTCAATTACTTACAGGATAAATATAATTGAAACATTTTTTTGTTTTTTTGGATATCTTTAGTTACACATTATTATTGAATTATTCACTATGTAATACTTTTTAAATTCATCCTTTATGCCTTGTAAGGATGTCAACTTTTTTTTTTTTTAATGGGAACACATATATTGAATTTAATAAAATGTTTGAGTTTTTAATATAATAGTAAATGGTATTTGAATTTTTAATATAACTTTATTCGTTTATTAGATATAAACATTTAAAGTTTCAAATTTTTGAGTTAATATACGTGTACAAAACACAAGGGATTGCAAATACAAGTAGCTAATTAATTTTTTTGACATCAATGTATATATAAATATCATTATAAATACAGAAACTGACAATATAAAAGTATTATGTATTTATAGTAATAATTGATAACTAACAATCTGTGAAAATGACAGCAATGTCATAAAAAACCTCTAGATATATCTAAGTATTTTGTAGTCACATTATTATTTAAATTAAAATTTAGACTATTATTCTGAAAAAGTGCTTCTGAAGTAATACTTTTTTTGCACAACACATATTTTGTCCGACGTAGTTGGGTACTTTCACCCTAATCAGTAGCTTACCTGTACAGACAATGGTTTATCGCTCTATAGGTGCTTGATGACCACAGGATCTGGGGGGGATTCACAGCTCATCGAAAATTAGTTATATAGATAATGTAGCATAATTGATTATTTATATAAATATTTCCAATAAAAAATATCTTCCTAAATGTATCAAATAATAAATAATCAATTGTAATCATAAGATTACTCAATTCAAGAGATTTTCGTTATAATTTTCAACAGCATTATATATTAAAATTCAAATGTTTGTTTATTATTTGTATTTCTTTAGGTTAAAATTAGTAACGATGAAACGTTGACAGACTCCATTAATAAGGTGAGATTACTTTAATCATATTAAGTTTTTAACTTGATTATCTTAATAACTTTTTGCAATAAAATAAATATTAAGTAAAATGTAGTTTGGAAAAACAAAGAATTATTTTACTAATTCAAAATATTTTATGTTTAGGTCAATTTAAATGACAAAACCGATGTGAAGCCACCTACTACACAAGTAATGTATTAAAATTCTAATTTAAAATACTTGTGACAGTGTTGTTAAGTCGATGAAGTGAAATAATAACAGCGGGTTCGTTTATATTATCAGTGATCAGGACAGATATTGAAGTCGTATATTATTTAATGTGATATCAAAAACACATATTTAGCAGAATTATATTAAAAGACATCATTGATTAATTTTACCAAACAACTTGATAATTTTTGACACTCATAAAACATAAATAAAGATTATTTGTTTATTTGTGATATTTTCTTCTCATAAACGGAACACTAATACAATATATTCCATTGAAATAAAATAACGTTAAATAAATCATAACACGGACTGTTAATTAATTAATAAATTCTTATAATGATTGATATATTAGTGAAATGATTAATTATTAAATATAGTAATTGTGAAAAAATGTTACAGGAAGTGAATAATATACCAGAAACACAATCTACACTTATAAAGGTATTGATATACAAAATGATTGTTTTATCATTGATCAATAAATTTCTTCTAATTAAGTAATGATTTAACCATATTTTTATGGTTTTATTTATTTCCCTATTTATATGTAATTAAATATTTTTTGGATTCAAAAAAATTAATTAAATAATAAATTCGTTCAACTAATATACTACTTTTTATATTAAAAATAGCGACTTTAACAATTTTACAGGAAGAAAATAATAAACCAGAAAACCGACCTTCGCTATTAAAGGTATTAATATAGTGGAGTCTTTAATATGTTATTATTACTTTTAACGACTAAATTTAGTTCTTATTTATCATTTAGAGAATTTTATATGCAGCATTTTTTTTTACTCAGAGAAAAATGAAAAATTAACTACTTATAATTACAGTTCTTTAAATTTCAATAACGTTTAGAATTTTCTTTGCTGTACCTTTAACTACTTGTAATAATTAATAATAAGCTCATTGCAATTACTTTATAAGTTTTTGGTCATAAACTACAAATCGACTTTACTGGTTTTCATTGTAAAAAAATTATAATAATTTAAAAAATAAGTACTAAAAATAATAACAATGCTTCAGTACTTCTTTTTTATTAACAATGGTATACGTTTTAAAAATATTGTTTTCTATGAGTTATTTATATAACCAACTTTGTGTTTGAATAAAATCGGAACATACAAATGTTCAATTTATCATTCAAATCTACATAAAACTTAATCTTCTAAATAAATCACAAAATGTATTTCTATACAGTACAAATTCTTTAATGTTTTATTTAGAATTAAAGCCCTTCCAAAAACTTTAGTGAATGTTACAATTATTTCAACAGTTGTTTTAATACAGTTGATTAAATTAGTTTACTAAGAAATTTAATCATTAGATATATTAAAAAAAACATGTATCTTCTACTTTATGTAATTAAGTATTTTTAAATAGATTAGATAATATTTATAACATTTCCAATTTAATCCATTTTGTTTTTTTGATTGTTAAACATAATGATCTAATTTAACGATAGTAAATTCCATTTTTAATAATTTAAATTTTTTTAAATTTTCGGAGGGGTTCTCGATTCCAATGAACCATTCCCTGAGAGTATATGTCCTCGCATAGTATTTTAATAGGATCGAAATAATGATATTTTCGATAGTATGGAAAACAAGTATTTTATTGTTTACTCTTAGAAATTTGTAAAATTTGGATAAAAAAAAAATATACTTTCCAGGGCTGTAATTTATTTAAAACATCAAAATAATTTTATGTTAATAATAATAATTATTATTATTATAAACATTTTTTATTTTTTTGTAAATCCAAAGCAATATAAAAATTGTTTTCCTCCTATAAATAATTTAGTAAATAATTGAAATCCTATTTTATAGCTTGAAATACTGCCTGTTTAGGTGTTGAAAAATTAAATAAATAAATAAATTAAATTATGAATTTTAATCATTTATAACTATTTTTTTTTTAATTTTTAATTTATTACTTGTAATTTTTTAGAATNTATGAATTTTAATCATTTATAACTATATTTTTTTTAATTTTTAATTTATTACTTGTAATTTTTTAGAATGATATAACAACTGATCAAATTAATTTGCTTACGAGTATTTATAATGTAGTGACTTCTAACGGTACGGAAAAATTAACTGTTGACATTTTGAAATCCATTTTTACAACGCTTGAACAGAAAAAAAGCGATGAGGAATATAATATGATAATGAAATTCCTTGATTCTAATGATGGTAATTATAAAATTAGTGTCTATTACAATAGATATCTATCTAAACTGGAAGCAGTCCTAAATTATTTTTTTGAGGAAGTAGAAAACAAAATTGTTATAGTCATAAATTTGAAAATTAAATTTTTTACTATTTTTACCTAAATAACTTTTCAAATTCTTTTTAATAAGTCTACTCTTGACTTGTAATAATTATAGATTAACATTTTACGACCAGTATTCGTAAGTGTAATGGAAATTATGAAAAGAAAGGTGATACGATACGACATTAATTCTCTTAACCAAAGGCGTCATAGAGTCAAACCTTATTATTAGCCACCGTGCTTTTACTATTTACTTGTTGATTCACTTTCAGTTTAATAATTTATAATATGGTGTTTAGCTTAAGGGAACACAGTAGCGTATTAAAACGAATTCTATAAAATATAATATATTCACTGCCCTCTTGTCGTAGTTCGAGGATACTTAATTTTAAAAACCTAGCACAATGGGTCGCGGTACAGTGATGACGTAGTATAATAATATCTGACAGTCATTAAAATCACTATAAAAAAAAAAACGCTACGATGTAAATCTTAAGATAGTGTTTAATTTTAAAAACTTAATGGATTATTCCAAAAGCTACATGATCTGCTAGTTCCTTATTAATATCCTGATTAAGATAAAGTATATCAAATGAAAAAGGGACTATTAAAAAATATTATTTCTCATAAAAAAATTGTGTTAATCCATAAACTTTTCAATAAGTTATAGAATTATAAAGTTAAAAATGTAAAAAATAAAATCGAGAATTTTCACACAAAAATAGCATTCGGTAGTCATTTTCACTGTGAAGACAAAATAAAGTCCGAAATTTTTATCCATGATAAAATATATTACATTAGCTTTAATTTAAGATATATATAAAAGAGTCAGACTTTCCGTAACATTTTCAAAAGTCAAGTTGAAAAAGTTAATTTTTTGTGAAAAAGTTGTCATTTTAAATCCCCAACGTGGGCAGATAAAAGCCAGATTTATGAAAAAAATATATCAAATGAAAAGTACAAATTTTATTTATATTTTTATTTTTAATAAATTAAGCAAAAGTCATAATGAAATAATCTCATTCATATTTAACGAATTTAGTTGAGTTAATACAGGGAATTGTAATTTTTCAAAAATATTTAAGGGTTGGGTGGTAAACATTTTTTAGAATAGGTGAATACTTCCATTCGTAATTCTTTTTTATAATAAATAAGTTTCATGTTTTTTGTCTAAGTATAGTGCTTTATGTTAACAAGTTGACTTTTTTGCTATGCGGAGTGGTTTGATTATATAAGCTAAAATATTAGTTTTTTTTAAATTATGTTTAATGTACTTTTAATTCCTTTTTTAACAACAAATAATTTTTAATATTAGCTTTGATGCGAAGCTGAGAAGGTATTGCTTTTACTATGATGTGATTTTTTTTTTGTGTTTGTTACCACTTTTTCTCAGCTCTCACCGAACGGATTTATTTC